TTGCAATAGGATTCCAAGTTTACTCAGTTCCTAGGGCCAAAGGAATGGCTCTGTGTTGAGAGCACCTCAGGGTTGCTTCAGCCTTCCCTGGCATGAGTTTCAGGTGGTTTGTGCATCCAGATCAAATAAGGATGTTGGGCCAGAGATTGTGGGAATGGGCTTTGTTGCTGATGTGGGTTTCAGTAGTAGGCTTACCAGTTTGTATTTCTTCCTTTGAAAACTGTTTTGGACAGGTGCTTTGTTCATAGTGTGTCTGTGTCTGCATAGTACTTTAAATCAGTTTTGTTGCTTATAAATAATCTGTTACCTCATTAGTCCTGAACAGCACAACTTGAAGCTGTCTTCATCACCTCAAAAGCGTCTTGCTACTAAGCTGATAAACCATCCTTTCCTTTGTGTGACATGAATGTTAAAATGTTGTAAACAAGTTTCCAAAGGATCAACAGCAATTTTTCATGCAGGATATATTAATTTGTCTTGTAATATTCCTTTTATGTCAACTGCAATAATCTACTGTGCTTAAAGCATAAATATCTTTTCATGTGTGTTTGTCTGAAGTGACAGCAAGTTGCCAGAGATGTTATCAGACACAACATACGAGGATGAGTAACACCACTGCCTTATGACTGCAGCTACTTAAAAGGCAGGGGAAAATTGTCATTAGAAGCTGAATATTATTGCTAGGTTTGTTACACAGTATGTGAGTGTTTAGAGGGAATATGAAAAATAAAGTATTTCCATTTAGACCAGCACTTTCTGGAACACCACAGAGCAGTATCAGCTAGTAGTTTTTCTGTCATATAATGCAAACATTGGCATATTCAGGGCAAAATACTGACTACATTTCTCTCTGCAGACCTTGGGCTCTGTGTGATGATGATGAATGAGCTCAGGACCCAAGAAGTGCTAAGTGCCTGGGTCTGTGGGTGTTTATCTAGTTACAATTTAATTATTTTAACTGCATCTCTTCAATATCAGCATCACATTGTGCAGCTAGGGTCCAATTTAAAACATGTAGCAAAAGAGTTCTGCAATGACTCATTGGTGAAGATCTTTGTGATAAATAACAGACCCTCCAGAGTCCTGAGCAGCAGAATGTCACACTGGCAGGCTGAACCATGATGGCACCTTTCATCTCAGCTTATGTCCCCTGGTATCTAAGTAGCAGCAGAAATTTGGTGGAAGCTACAGTGCTTTTTCTAGCTATTCACCCAGGGGGATCCCAAGAGTCTTATTAGAGCTGCAAGCCAATAGGAGAAAATAACAGCAAGGAAATTCTAGCTGGAACCTTAGAGTCATACAGTCTACAGAATGATCTCAAAGCATGCCACGTGGATTCGCACTGTGGGGAAATACAGGTGAACAGGTAGCTTCTGGTTTTGTGTCACCATCATATTTTCTGAAAAATCCCTTCACCAGGATTTCTTCTTCTGGGAAGCTGACAAGCCTCAGAGAAAAATGAAAACAATAATAGTCTCATTTTGCTTCTCCTGTATTTTGCTGCTTTGGAATGTAGTCTGGATATTGTTTACCAACAGGTGCATGTTTGATTGGTTTCATGTGAATTGTTTTTACTTAATGACCAATTACTGTCCAGCTGTGTTGGGACTCTGGAAGGGGTCATGAGTTTTCATTATCATTCTTTCTAGCCTGTCTGTATCCTTTCTCTACTCTTTAATATAGTTTACTATAACATCTTTAATATTCTATATAACATAAAATAATAAATTAGCCTTCTAAGAATATGGAGTCAGATTCATTCCTTCCTCTTCCATCCAGGGACCCCGAAAATACCACAGTTTTGCTGAGAAATTCTCTTGCTGTGAAAGAAGCTGTGTAATAGAATGTTCTTGTAGCCCTTGGCAGGGATGTGGAATCGATCTCCAGGCGATCCCTTAACTCTAAGTAGCAGTCTCTAGGCTGATCCTGGAAATGGTGGTCATATTGATCCTGTGGGGGAGCATCTCAGGAAACAGTGTCAGGCAGTGCCTGAGAGATTGTGCTTTTGAGAAAAGGGAAAAGCATAGGGATTTGTGTTCAAAATTTATCATTTTGCACATCAGATTCATTAATTATTCCTTTGTGGGTGCCATGGCTTAATCCCAGAATCTTCAAATTCTGCTGTATAAGAACATGTTTGTGGTATTAGAGTGAGTACCCCCATTTCAGCGTGGGAAACTGTTCCCATAACACCAGAGCTAAGTGATGTTCTGATAGTTCTTTGCTTGGTACTTAGAAACTGAAAGAGCAGAAGGTGAATACTGCTGCAGACAAGGAAGTCACCCATGAGGTAGCTGAGCTTTCAAAAACAAGAACAAAGTTGTGTTTATTCTCTCCTCTTTTAAAATAAAATAAACATGTATATATTATAAAAAAATACAATCTCTTACCGCTCTAGTATTTGCCCAGATAGGTGATCTCCCCAAAAGTATGCACTGGGAGGACATTTCTGACAACATTTCTGTGTTGGTGGTGAGGCCAGCACAGTGTGATCCATTGTGGAGCCGTGCCCTCTGCAGTGATTTCCTAGGCACCACTTCACAGCAGCTGCTGTGGGGCTGTTCCTCCTGGGAACAGCATCCTGGCAGAGTGTGTTGGGGTAACCCCACCATGGCAAAATTGTACTCCTTTTAGCAATATAAACCAGCAGGTACAGCTGGCCATGTGATGAGTAATAAGCTGCAACTGCACAGTGTGAGCCCTTCAGACAGAGAGTAGAAATAAAGAAGTCAGGACAAAGGAGATTTGTGGCTCACAAATTTGCTGTAGCAGCCACTCTGGCCTACTACTGGACTTCACCGATGTTTCAAACCTGACCTCAAGTCAGGGCATAAGAGGAACTATCCTTGGCAGCTCCCTTGATTTAGAACTACTGCAAGAAAAGAAGGAATGAGAGCTGCCTTTGTTTGTTATTTTTAAAATCTGACTCCCTGTTGCAAGGCAGTAAGATGTGCAAATGGCTCTTGCACCTGGCAAGTTACCATCAGCAATTATTGCAACACTTAGTGTCTTTCTGCCACCAGCAGAAATCTCTTTGCTCCCTTTCATGTCAGAGATTTCATTGTTCTTATGGGGATGGTAAAATTAAAGCCACAAGATTTACTGCTCTAATTCTCTTTTGTTTGCAGCAAAAGGGAGAGACAGGGAAGGATGATACATGTAGCTGGATTTTGTGTTGTTGGGTTTTTTTCTCTTTTACTGACCAACAAAAATGACTGACAAAAACTTTGTTTAAATTCATCAAACAATTCCATTAGCAACTGTATTAGACTATTATTTAGACATAGGAATCTTGTTATTAAGAAAAAAAAAGCTGTGACTGCATTTCACTCTCCTCTGAAAATCTTGACATCTGAGCAGGCTGTACTTTATGTATTTCTTCATGTTTCTTTCAGTACAGATGTTTTCTAGTTTTAGATGTCATTAATGTAGTGTAAATGTCAAGAACACTGCTTTTGACAAATACATCAAAAGTGTTGTTTATGATAAATGTATGTGCGTAAGGGAAGAGTGTTTGATAGGAACTGAGTTTTCATTTGTAGCCCTTCCATTATTGCCCTTTGTGTGACCTGAGATGATTTGCCAAATCAGACTTTTTCAGAGGGTACATTTGTGAACGCAAGTGCAGTTCCCATGTTCTAAACCAGCACCTGACTGTCAGCTGTTAAAATCCAAGCTTTTGACTCTCGGTTCAGTGGAGAGAATTGAGGAAAATCAAATAAGGACAATTCACCAGATGTCTCATGGAAAGAAGTGAACTGCTGCAGGAGCTCAGAGTGGCTGCTTTGCACCACCTGCCCCAGAGCTTACCCACTGAGGTGAAAAGGAGAAGGATTTGTTTGTAGCTCCTCAAGAGTATTTCTTAGACACCATGGACATCATATGAGCCATGCTCAGTGATGTAGGAGATCATTTCTCTGAAGCTGCAACCTTGGCATTTTCAAAAACAAGCTTTTGCTCTGGCTAAAATTCCTGCACATTTAAAAATAAGCTTCAATTACAGCCTTGTTGAGCCTTCATTTCTCTCTCAATGAAATTACTCTTCATCAGACCTGCATGTTTTCAGTATTAACAGACGGGCTGTGTTAATGGATGCTCCAGGTAATCACGACAGTGAGATTTCATTACCTGACCAGTGTTGCTAGAATTTGTGGAATATCATACTACTTCTTTCTTCGAGGGTTGGTCCCTTTCATTTGCCAGCTACAGGCCCCAGCGTGCTTGTTCTGTGGACAAATTGATAAATTAGTCAGGTGCCGAAAGGGAGTCATTTGACTCACCTGAAATGAGCAGCAATGGGATGAAAATACATTACCTCTGTCCCACTGGATAAGCCTCAGATTGTATTGAAATAGAATTAGGCCGAGGGAGTCAATGTAGTGGATAATAATGAAATGTTTAATGTGGATTAGCTGCATATAAAATTAATACATTAGAATGAATTGCTGAAGAAATGAAACTGTATCAGACCTTTATCCTGTCTCTAATATTAGACTTAAAACTGCTGCAGTCTTCTGTTTATAGAAAAGCATAAGAAAAGCTATTGAATTTGAGTTCTTTATTTGGGTGAGAGGACTAGATACAGTATAAAATATTATAAATAAATATGTATATATACCAGAGCTGTCAAATCAGTATCCAACAGGACCAATGCTAATATATTTGGATCTGAACCAGACCTGAGAGGTTGCAGACAAGAATCTAAAGCTAAAACTCCTTAATCACCTGTGTGGGCTTTTTTCTTCTGGGAGTTAAATCTAAATATAATATTTGTTTTGAACCATTCAGAGGTGAGTTGAAGCGTTGCTTTAATCTTAATAGGTTTAATACAAAATGGGCAAGCTTTCCAAACTAATTGGCAAATACAGTCTTTGCCTGTGAGGTATGGAAGGGCTGCAGAATGAGCTGAGATGTAAAACTTGAAAGTATTCATCTGTAATCTAGGAGGCCTTGGGGTTTTTCTAATTGTTAAAGCTTTCTTGTTGCATCCTCTCTTCCAGGTTCTTTCCTATTTCTCAATGCATCAGAGAGGCCGAGCCCCACCATCCTGAGCCCTTGGCTGAGGAGCAACAGTGATCAATGTGTAGTTCAAGTGGCTGTGTACAAGTTTTACCAGCAGAGTGGAGAATACATTGCTCGTGTCCATCCCATTGATGAGAACAGCAGTGAAACCCTGTCAGAGGAGAGTCCAGAGAAACACGGGTAAGTCTCATCCTCTCGTTTGACTCCCAGCTTCAATTGAGAAAAATCACTCAACTGTGTAGCAGTAGAGCCACAAAATGCATGCTGCTCATCTGAGGGGAGCAGGACATGCCACTGAGAATATGCTTGTCTTGCATGGGTCTAAAATGTCATAGAAGGTAGAGGTTAGTGCTTATTTTATTATACAAAGCATTAGCAAACTTCCTGATCCAAGTAATTGAGCCTCTAAATCAACACCATGTTTATTCCCAGTGCTTGCAGGTACAGATAGAGTGTGGATTCTCATCCTCAGGTTAAAGCTTTTCTGCTTAATTCTCTCTCTGTGATTGCTTTTTACTACTTCTTAACCCACGTATACTATTGGGCTTAGAATATCTACTGAGTCTTTGCAGTTTCATGTTCCTGCATACATTTTCAGTTTTGTCTTTGCTTCTGGTTTTTTTTTGCCCATAAAGCTGTTCAGAACTACTGGCAGGGGAGGAAAGCTTTTGATCTTTCAAGGGTGCAACTATTTGAAATGTTTTATCCTCTTTGTGCAATTAATCTTGATGATGTTTTCATTTGTCAGACTTCCTGTGTATTCTTTTAAATTTTTGTTAGCAGCAAAACAGCAGGAGATGAACACAGTAAATATTTCAAGATGCTGTAGGAGTAGAGTAACTCGGAATTTAATTTGGATATATGTGAGGCTAATGTTCTACCTGCTCTATATACTGACTATTTAAAATTTTTATTTCTTACCTTTGTTGTGAAATGTGTTAAGAAGCATAATTTTTACCAAACATCTCAAATGTTCTTTGTTTTGATGTGATAGATTAGAGGGTTGCTAATAGCAAATCCTGCTGCCTTGTCCTCGTAACAAGATGTGATTATCTGATTACTGTCTACAGCAAATTCTGTATCTTCCAGTAGCAAAAGGAGAATGTGCAATAAAAAGCCTTGCAGGAGATAACCTAACTCATAGAAACAGTTTGAATAGTTGTAATTCTCATATAACACATGGCCTATAAAAGTGAGGAGGAGAGCTTGTGTGTGGATCTAGATCATACTTAGTTCCAGCAACATCATCCAAATTGTAAATTGCTGTTGATGTCTGGGGAGAGGTAATTAGAGGAGCCACAGCAGCTGTCTTCTTCCTTAGCTCTTTGCAAATGCTGTGTTCTGTGTCACAGCTAATAAACATGCTTTGTGCAAAGTGCCTCCTGCCTTGGCACTGCCTCTGCTCCTTGGCACTCCCAGGGAATATTGCTGTGTGTAAAACGCTCAGCATGGAGGAGCTGTGGCTCGGATCTGTGGGTGGGCAGAACTCCCTGGGAGCACAGGCAAGTGCCAAATGTAAGGAGCCTTGGAGGGAAGGCAAAGATTGCTTTAAGTACAGTAACAAATTCCTGCCTTTGCCATCTGCTGGGGATAACGTGGATGACTCAGCTGTGTGTTGCAGATGGAGATCATCACCACAGTAAAGAGGGTTTGTGCTTTTGCAGAAGGTGGCTTTGGTTGTAGCTTGACTGTCCCATATGCTTGCCAGAAGTGCAGCTTGCTCCCCAACAGCATCTCTGTGGGGTGTGAAGGGCTAAGGATGTGCCTGTGGCTTCCATAGGTTTGTATGTCTGACTCCTTGGTACTCCACATGCTGGAAAACTACAGTTGGAGCCACCAGCTGGTTCATTTTCCCCTCCTCCTTTGGTCCTGTTCCTTCACTGCAAGAGGCAGTAACTCTCAGCTCAGCAGTGCAGAAAAACTCTGCTACCGTGCCCACATAAATGTCACATGGGGATGGTTAAATAGCTTCTCACAGCCACAGATGAGAAGGTCGCAATTTGTCATCATTTGCCCTGAATCTTCATTCCAGAATTTGAGTGCCCCTCCTTTGTTTGGAGGGATAATATTAGCTATTCCAGCTCTGACAACAGAACATGTAAATCTCACTTTTTAAAGCATCTTTTTTCCTTTAAATAGGAATCCAGTATAGCTGATGGAAAGTCAAGAATAATTCAATGAAGTTCTTAAATGAACTAGCAATCTTACAGTGGAAATCTGTTCTGTTCAATATTTTATTTTGTCTTGGAAATTGCAAACAATTGTGTTCTTTTATAATGAGTTCTTTGACCATGCTATAACCAAATAATTTCTAAAATTTTATAAGGATTTTAGCTCTAGGCACAAAGTAATTGAATTCCCCAGTGATGAGTCTGTGCTAGAAATAAAAACACTTTAAAGTTTCACAGCTGACACTTCTTTGATTCTATGTGCTTTATATATTGCTTTGCAAACCAGAGGTGTGAAGTGTGTGACTTTGTATGTGCAGTAGTGAGTCCATGCCATTGCCTGAGATCAAGCTCATAGCAGGAAGAATGTGTTTTATTGAAAAAAAATGCATATTAAGGGTGATAAAGCAATAAGTTAATTCCAGGGTGGATTTTCTCAGATCTTGAACCATGCACAGCACTAATATCTTCTTTCCTTTTTCCCCCCCTTTTTAAATTGTATAACCCAAATTACATCTATTAATATCTTACAAGGTCTTCACAGTTCATCTACATTTACTAGAGAAAAAAGCAGATGCTGTCAGGTATTACTATTTCATTCAGGAGGAAACCAGGCAAACCAAGGTTTTGGATGACAGCACTTGAGGCTGATTTTAAGTAGAATATATGTAAAGCTATGAAATTCTATTAGGTAAAGACAGCATGGGCCCCAAGTATTTATTTGTTACCAGAGCTCACCCATGTTGTCTTTGTGTGTAAATTACTGGGTGTGATTATGCATGAAGACTCAAAGCAGAACTATGGATTTTCTGTTTGCTCCTCTGGTTTCGTTCTTTAGGAAAAAACACACCTGTGAACTAGAGTTGTATGAGTTCCGTAATGAGCCAGAGGGGCTGCAGAAATGGTTGTTTGGAAGACACCTGTTTGTGTTGTTTTCTTAGCTGACATATTTCCCTGCAGCTGATGTATTGCATGCAGGAAGAAAGGTGGCTAAGCTAGGGTGGGGCAGTGGAACACACACCAGGAGCAGAATGGCAGAAGTGATGGCTGGGAATGGTTCCTGAGGGATGAACCCCCGAGGCTGGCAAAGGGATACTTGTTTTGTGGTACACAGAAACTCTGCCAAATACAGCCATAGCTTTTATATATAATATTTGCAAGAGAGCTTCGTAATCAGAATGTAACTATGTCCTTGTTCATCACCAGTAGAATTGTATACTTTTTGAAATTATCATTGTCTTTAAAGAGTTAGTAAGGTCTTACTCCAGTTTAACTTGTGTATTTTGGAACACCTTTGGTTAGACCTTCCTAACCTAACTCCTAAACAATCAGTAGGACTCCTCTGTGGGGAACAATACATCACTGTGTTCTATCAGAGTTAGTTTTGTTGCATGGCAGTGTTTCTAGCTGCTGTGAGTCTGTGGATGTTTTTGATGTGGTTAGTCTCTTCTGACATCTCTTGCAGTTCTGTTGGGTTTTACAAGCACCCGCAGATGATACCGGGAGAGAAGCAGAGCACTGCTATTGATCCTTTGTAATGGCAAAAGAGTTGTTATAATTCCTGCCATGGAGCACAGCACTCTCTGATTTATCTCAAATGACGCCAAATGTGGCTACAATCTTTTGCTATTTTTCTGTTCCCATGGTGCTGTATACAATCCTTTCTTGCTATTTAATGGGGTTCCTATTTTCTATTTCGGTAGGTGAGAAGACATCAAGTATGTTTATGTTGCATATTGGTAATTTAGCAAAGCAGAATTGCTACCACAGTTTGAATGTTGACTTCTGGGCACTTGTCAGACTGCTGTTGTGGCCACTGATTTAATTTCACCTCTCATCTTTTTTTCCCATGTGTTGCATTTATAATTACAAAGCAAGTAAGATTTTAAGTGTGCTTAGTAGAGTGGAGAGAACACAAAGGAAATCAAGGAAATCTGGTCAGCAAGATTAGAGTTTGTAATAAAGGATTTTAATTTCTTTTGATCTGTGTGTTTTGGAGAAATTAGAATTGGGCAAGGACAAATTTATAATGGTTTGTTTTAATTACCATTATTACTTTACACCTCTACTTGCACTATTAATGGTGAGCTGCAGTATTATATAATATATATCAAACCAAACTTTTTTATAAAAACATGGCAAATGACACCTAATTTCAATGTGGTCTTTTATTGTTGACCTCTTTCATCACCAAGCTTGAGATTGCTCTGAAGACTTTTGTGTAAATATGTGAAGTTGAAAGTGTTTCTTAAATAAAACATGAAATGAGAACATGCGTGCATGAGAAAGGAAGTCATAAAACACTAATACTTCACATAGCCAGTACTTCAGTAGGTGTATGAATACTGCTGCACAGAGCACTTCCAACAGAGAAAGTTCACCTGGTTCTGAAGGCTGCTGCAAATCATAATAGGCTATTCCCTTTCTGGCATCTACAACTTCACTAAAGATTGATTGCATTGATAGATGTCAAGGAAAATATATGAAGGAATCAGTAGCATCTGTCACATTTGACCTTGGGGCTTGAAATGTGAAGGTTATTTCTTGTACTAGTCTTGTTCTTTTTCTTCCTTTCCTACCAGTACCTTCAGTAGCCTGTCTCAGAGGGACTTAATAGAAGGATTTTTTTGTTGTTGTTTGTTTTATATTCTTTTTGTGAGGATGGGGAATGTTTGTTTGGTTTTTTTCCCCTTCTTGAAAAATTTCACTAAATTCAAGCCTTTGTTTTGGTAGTGCCTGGGCTCACACAAAAAGAATGAAGACCAAAGTCTTAGTGTATATTTGGGGCATTTAAACTTATTTTTAAGCATCAAAATGTGTCTCAAAATTTACAGGATATTTTTAGTCTCCGAGAATTCTAAATCAGGAGATTAAGTGATTCAGTTCAAACTATGCATTTGAGAAATTCAGATAATCCAGGAAAATAATTTGGATTTATGGATTTGTTAGAAACTAAGCTCTCTCACCCTGATGGCCAGGCACCACTAATCCTTAATTTTAGAGAGATAACTT